TGGGACCTATTTAGATAGAATTTGACTGCTAACCAGAAGGCTGGTAGTTCAAACCCACCAGCCACTCCTTGGAAAGAAGATTGGACAATGTACTTCTGTAGTGATATGGCCTCAGAACCCAAGGAGGGGTCTCTATGAGTCAGATCTGACTCAATGGCAGAGTTCTGGTTTTTTTATACATAGAATATATTTACTCTCCATCAAAGGTGATGGTTCTGATCCAGTTGAAGTTCCTATTACTTTGAAAATCTTTGGTTGTTTTTTAGTTTTAGAATGCCATCCTAATTTCAACTATTAACCATTTCAGTGTATTCCCTTTACTTTTATGTTTTAGGGGAAAATTTATCCATTTCGAGGTGCCTTCCCACCAGTGTGGAACCCTATTGCCTATCTGGATTACAACAATCTATGGCGAACAATGGATAACATGGGGAAAGAGGTAAAATGTGTATTCAGCTCAGCTCACACATGATCCATTACTGAACTAGGAATAGTAACTGCTTAATATGCTTGTAAGTGGAGCAAACATTGCTCTGAGTATTGATCAATATCATTTCTTATGCTCACAACAACAGCAAAGCTGATAGTAATACCACTTTACAAATGAGGAAAATGGTGCCAAGAGGTTATGTAATTTACACAAGACCACACAACAGTGGAACCAGGATTCAAACCCATATGCATTTGATATGAATGCCTGTATGCTTTTAACTGCATACCATTTAACATTTATTTAAAGTATTTTTGCCAGATATTTGTATTTACAGTATTATGTCCATACATGATACTACTTAGATAATAAAAGAGAAAAAGATTTGCTTCTCCAAAGCATTTTTACTTAGTTTCTGGCTCTGTAACGTTAACTTTCTCTAACTTGATTAGGTACTTAAAATGGGGACAGCTTTTAATAATATATAATCAATATTATTAATATAGTATATATATATGTGTGTGTATATGTAGATATTTTATATAATCATATAACAAGTATTATTTTGGTACCAATTTTAAGGTATAGAACCCAAGGAGCTAACCCACCCCCACACTCCAATCACACATTCCAACATGGAGACTGGTTGGCAGAGGTTCTCATGAGGATATCTCCAAGAGGCAATGAGCAGTTTCTGTCATACCTGAATGCTGGACCTTCTTTCTCTGCAGATTAGAACTGATGCTCCATGGGAGGCCCCACACGCCGAGGAATGGGACAAGATGTCCATGAAAGATCTCATCGATAAAATCTGCTGGACAAAGTAGATTGACCTATTTAAAGTTTACTTTTACTCTTCCTTTGCTATCCTTTCTTTATTGAGCTGTAGTGTTTGTTTTAATAACTTACAAGAAAAAAGTAAAGAGGAAACCTAATGACCGTGGAGTCAAGTAAGAACTTTGAAGTCACCTCAGACAATTAAGAGCAGATTTGAGCATAAAATAAATCTACAACTTAAGAAAAAAGTAGGTGAATGAAGTAGAATTTCTTTCAATTAAATGATTGTGTGATCTACAATAAAATGAGTCATTGTGTATTCATAATATAGAGACGTCATCTACAGAAGCAGTTTGGAAGGAGATTTGAGAAGTAATTCTATATAGATGTAGAAAAATACAAAATTGGAGGAAAGCTCATCTTTATTAATTTAAAAATATAAACTACATGATGTTTTTTATTAGAATTCTTGTTAGTAGTTTAGTTATTTACGGTTCATTCACTGAATAAGTATATATTTCTTTTGTGCCTGCTATATACAGGCACTGAGGGAACGTGGTGAATTTATTAGGCATAGCCCCTTCCTTCATGGAGTTTATATTCTTCTAGCAGGTGAGACTGATGTTGACCACATAAATTACACAATACTAGGAGAGTACCTGCAGCAAGAGGAACCTGACTTGGGTAAAGGAAGGTTTCCTTGACAAAGCAGTGTTTAAATTGAAACCTAAAGAGTTTGTGCATCAACTAAGTGCTGAGGCACGTGGCTGAGAAGAGTCAGGGAATGGTGGATGGTGTGGGGGGATAGTATCTTCCAGGCAGAGAGAACAGGGTGTAGCTTACATGAAGGCTCTGAAATAGGAAGAAGGTTGGCATGTTTTAGCAACTAATGGCCATGACATGAGCAGGTGGTGTAAGGGGAGGATGGAGAATTGGGCAAACGGCACAAGATTTATTTGCCACATCCAAAATGTTGACCTTTCCCCCACTGAAAGCCATTGAATGATTTTAAACAGAGGATTGATGAGCTTTGCACTTTGGAAAGACTTCTTTGGTTGTACTGTGGAGGAGGACACAAGCAGGATGTGGGGTGACCAGGAATCACCATTATTGTAGTGCAGATGAGGCACAGTGGTAGTCTAGAATAAGGTAATAGAGATGGAGAGGAGAGGTTGGTGTTAAAATGAATGAGAATAAATATCCCTAATAACAGACAAGCATATTGCCCTCTTAGGCTGCACTAAAGATAGCAGATTTGGAGGTAACCCTTAATTTCTTAAAAACGGGGGAAAACTTTATTTTCTCCAAGAGTTAAAAGGTACATTCCATCAGAAATTGAGCCCATGAGCTTTTTTCAAAGGCAATGGAAGTATCTCTAACTATATGAACTTGTGCTTCTAAAACATGATATAATCCTGTTAAGCATGTATGTATTTGTGCCTGACTTCCATTCTTATTCTATGAACAGGACTGCTAGACAGTTTGCTTATCTCTTTGTGAACATCAATGTGACCTCTGAGCCCCATGAAGTTTCTGCCCTTTGGTTCTTGTGGTACGTGAAGCAGTGCGGGGGCACCACTAGAATCTTCTCAGTTACCAACGGGGGCCAGGTATGGAGTGTCCATGCTGAAACTCTAACTTAATTAGTGATACTGTCTCACTCCAAGCAGCTTCTTAGTAATTGCTTTGGTATTTCGAAATACAGCTAAGTAGCAGCTTTAAATACTCTCAAAAGACTTATGGGAAAAAAAAATTCATTTTCTTGTTCCTGAAAATAACTTCACAGCTAAAGAGAGTTTGAATTAGAATTAATTAGCTTTTGTGAATTAAGTTATTTCCTATTGGAAGTAGTTAGTAAGTTAGGCTATTTTTGTAGGAAAAGCTCAATTCCTAAAATAAACTAATTTTTCCCAAATTCTAATACTTGTAAGTTTATTGTATTTACAGACATCTCTGTTCCAGATATAAGGTTGTTGTCCCAGTGTTACTCTTTTGTCATAGAATGGAAATGATTTGCCTGCCTTCTAATTCACACTAATGTGAATTGTAGCTACTCTCCAGTAGGTCATTCTGTATTTTGGTTTTGTAATTTTTGCTGTTTGCTTGCTTTTGCATGATTTCCGTACTACTTCCATTACTAATGATTGAGCTCATTTGGTCAGCAAAGCCAGTGGCACTTTGTCTGGAGCAATGCCAGAATCCTAATTTTGTGATTTGCCAGATTCTGATATTCTTTGTTTCAAGGCTGTCCCTTATCCAAGAGAGTGGTTATATCTTTGCTAGAAATATTTTGTCTGAATGAGATAAGATTTAATTAGTAGCAGTTTACATAGGCTCTGCTTTGTTCTCTGAGTCCCAGAATTCTGAATGTTTAGTGCCAGGTCTAGAGTCTCCACTAAGTGAACTATTCCTTCCTTCCTTCCTTCCTTTCCTTCCTTTCCTTCTTTCTAAATTATGATTTGGGTGAAAGTTTACAGAACAAATTCACTTTCCATACAGCAGTTCACCTACACTTTATCTCATGACATTGACTACAATTTACTACAGTGCAACAGCTCTCCTCCTACTTCCTCCCCATAGCCACCTCTTCCCTATGTCCTTGCCTCCCATGCACTCCTGCCCCCGCCAGCTGTCTCCCTGTGCATCCACAGCCCTTCTATTCTTCCATGATTGATCTCTCCAAGGAGCATATTTACTTAATATAAATGCTCAGCTCATATGCCTGTCTTGTTTGGCTGGAAGCCCCTGGAGTGGATTCAATTCCAGACCTGAAGGGCAGCTAGAGGCCATAGTCTCAGTGGTGCCATCAGGCTCTATCAGACCAGCAAACCTGGTCTCTCTCTTTCTTTTTTTTTAAATGATTTTGAGTTTTGTTCCACATCTGTTTCTCACTCTGTCCAGGGTCTAAGTGAACTATTCCTTTCCTTTAGGAGATCTCTAGAAGTCTCCCAGTTGTTCTTGTGTTCCCAAGAGTTATTGGCCATTTGACCCTTAGCCAAATGCAAGGCAGTTGCTTTTTTTTTTTTTTTATTAAGTGTCTCTACTTAAGGCAGAAATCTTACATTACACCTTTTAACTTGTACTTTACTTTCTGAGATATCTTAACTCATATTTGGTGTTCGTATCCTTCATTTGGAGTCCCTGGGTGGCAAAACAGTTATGCACTTGCTACTAATTTAAAGGTTAGGGATTCAAACCTATCCAGAGGCTCCATAAAAGAAAGTCCTGGTGGTCTGCTTCTGAAAGATCACATCCACTGTGCAGCACAATTCTTCATTGCACATAGCAGTTGGAATCAACTCAGTGGCAACTATTTTGTTTGTTTGTTTCTATTCCTTTATTCACAGTAGCTGGAATACTTCTAGCCAAACTCTATATGACCTTTTGGAAAGCACAGTTCAGATTACAAATCTCAAAGCATTATTGTAATATCTTTATATAAATAACTTGGATTTACCTTTTAATCATTTCATTCAACAAATATTAGATACAAGAAGAGTGGACAGTATAAATGAGATTTAAATAATTCATGGTCTTTCCGCTGTACCAAAATTTAAAGTAACTCTTGGGGAAACATAGATCACATTATGAATTAAATAATTCTAGTTCCTTGAGGAAGAGCAAATCATGAATTTAAGTCTGCGCTACTATAGGAATGGTTTCATAAAGAATCTTGGTGGCATCATTAAAACAATAACGTTCTAAAAGTACCTGCTTATGCAAGGTTGTTGTCAGGGGAAGCATGATTGGGATACCTTCTTGTCAAATATCGGCATGTGCCTTAGTCCATCTACATGCTTTTCTTACCTTTTAAAAAATCTTCTACAAGTGGCTAAAAATATTCCCCTGTTCTTGAAAAATACATTATATTAAGGTCTTACCTTTGTAGATTAATAGGAAACTGTTTCCATGCTGAGTGTAGCAGATCACAGAGGGTCAGAGCGCTCATGGCATGGTAGGGCTACTCAAGGGAACCAGGTTACAGTATCTGAAGGAACAAACAGGCACTTAGCCTCCACCCCTCTGCCTCTGCAGTGAAACTTCCAGACATCTTTGTACAAAGGTGCTTGAGATCTGAGATTCCTTTTCTAGAATGTTATTTGGTCATGATTAGTAGAGTTGACTCCCCCTGAGAGTGCCCTGAGCTGTTATCTTAGAGTAACATTGTGTGTCATAAGCTATTGTCTGCATCCTTACCTGCCTAGACAATTATAGTGCATGGCTGTGAGAAGCTAAGGGCAGTCAGAACCTGAGTCCCTTGAGAGAAGTGCAGCACTCTCCCTTTCTTAGGCCTCTTTCCATGAACTGCATGCCTTAGCATTCAAAGCCCAAAGACTTGCTGAAATTTTCATTTGGTCGGGGTGCTACTGGCAATGGTGTAGGTGAACATTTCCTCTAGTTCTGAGGTTTTATAAAACTTGGAATGACTTTTCATTGCTGGAAGCCATGCAGAAAATAATTGAGGCATCTTGACCAACTCTGCCTCTGTCCTAATAAAAAAATAAATAATAAATAAAATTCAACATGGATTCTGGGGGGAAAAAAAAGAATCCAACAATTAAGTGTGCAGAGAATGGAGGTACCTTTCTCAAGGTTGTTCTAAGCAGCAGGAAATATTATGATTTTCTTTTCTTGAGCTTTAATAAATTTCCTTTCCTGCCTGCTTCTTTCTGTAGGAACGGAAGTTTGTGGGTGGATCTGGTCAGGTAAGCGAAAGGATAATGAAACTTCTTAAGGACCGAGTGAAGTTGAGCCATCCTGTCAGCTATGTTGACCAGTCGGGTGATACCATCTTCGTAGGGACGTTAAATCATGAAGTCTATGAGGTAATTCAGTTTAGTTAAAAGGAATATGTATTGTCAGCATTGTGTCTTCTACAGCTTTTAGTCAAATAGAATCCAAGCAGTGGCAGAATTAATGCTGTGCATGTTTCTAACTCAGTCTTCCAATTACCAGCCTCAGTTGACTTACCTTGTTTGGTTTTGTTGACTCACAGTTGTCTCCTTTTACATGTTATTGCTGACCCATGTCATCCCAAATGATAAGAATAATGTTTCAGCCCTTCTGCAGAGACTCACAGTTTGAAGTGTTACTTTGTGTCTATGTATTTTAGTGCAGATATGTAATCTGTGCCATCCCACCAGCCTTGACTTCTAAGATACACTTCAAACCAGAACTTCCAGCAGAAAGAAACCAGTTAATTCAGCGCCTTCCAATGGGGTCTATCATTAAGTGCATGATGTATTACAAGGAGGCCTTTTGGAGGAAGAAGGGTAGGCTGATCTTGTTCATGTTTAAACTGTATTACATAAAGAAACCACACTCTTTTAAGAACATTGTGCCAGGCACTGAAAAGAAAAAGACACGTGTTTTCAAACTGATAAAGAGAAAGGATCAGAAATCTTAGTTCATTTATTTCTTTATATATATTTATACACATCCCCTTGCAACCCAAAATGATCCCAAGAGTATGTGTTGGCTATATGGAGAAGGAAGAGATCACCCCAACTGTGGGGCCTCCATTGCTATGGCTGATCACATATGTCCTACTACTTAACTCTTCATGAGCAGAGTGAGTCAGAGGGACACCAGGGAAAGAGAGCTATCTTTGAAATCAGACATTCCTGGGCTTCACTTGCTTACTAGCTCTGTGACCTCAGGGTGGACACTTAACCTCTCTCAGCATCACTTTCTTCAGTAAAATGTTAACAAAAATACCTGCTTTGCAAGATGTCACAAGGAGTAAATGAGGCAGGGGATAGGACTTACATTGTTGTTGTTATGTGTCATCAAGTTGGACCTGACTCATAGTGATTCCTCCTTGGGTTTCCAAGGTGGTGTCATTATGGAAGTAGATTGCCCAACCTTCCTCCTGAGGAGTGGCTGGTGGGTTTGAACCACCAGTCTTCTGGTTAGTAGTCAAGTGCTTTAGGCACTGCACTACCAGAGGACATATATAGTAGGCTCTAATGATACAGGGGACTACTTTTAATAAGCCTTCTGTTCACACTCGCGGGACTGCTTCCCATCACACCTTCCATGGTTTGACAGGGTGATTCCCTTTAACATACCCTCTCTGTTTTCTCATGTGTTCCAGAACTCCAGAGCCATCTTAACCATTTTTTTCCATGTATTGGTCATCAGCCCATTATATAAAGATCATAGAGATGGATCATTTTCCATGTGTATGGGTGAATATACACCCTTGTATAGTGAGCATGTATGTTTAATAGGAAATAGCTTTTTGGTTGTAGGAAAAATTTGAGATTTGTCTTCTTCATAGGAAAATAATTTATGTGTATGTGTGTGTGTATGTGTGTGTGTTGTTTCCCTAAAATCTCTGAAGAGGTTGGTCTCACTCCGCTATTGATTCTCTCCTGGTTAAGATTACTGTGGCTGCATGATCATTGAAGATGAGGAAGCTCCAATTTCAATAACTCTGGATGACACCAAGCCAGATGGATCACTGCCTGCCATCATGGGGTGAGTTAGAGCTGGGCGTGCTGCATTTCCCAAATCATGTTGGGTGCTGGCAGAGAATATTATTTTGGAATCAAGCTAAAGTATTGATAAATACGAAAATATATCATATTCTCATGTATTAGAATATTTCAATAATATTTTATATATGACACAAGAATCCTAGGAAATGTTACTAAAATGGATATTTTCCCCCATAAAACTTACATGAATCATACTTCTAAGTCGAGCCAGGCCTGAGTGGATGACACTTCTTCCAGTAGGTCATTATGCAGCTCTCCTTGACCAGCATTGTTTCCCTTACCCTCTGAAGTGCTGGCTAGTTGAGGGCGTGATTCTGTGTATGGAATAGGAGAGCTCTTTCCCTTTCCTTCCATCCCTGCCCAGTTGTTCTGCCCTTTGAGAACTAGGGGTCCAGAAAAAGAAGTGAGACCTCCACAAAAGAATTACTAAGCAGTTATACAGCTTCCCAGTTGCTCTGCCTTTCAGCTTCCCTCAAAAACCATACAAATATAGGGGCTATTTGTTCTACCACAGTACCACAAAAGAACAGAGTTTCGGTAGCAGGCAAGAAGTGACTTTGAGAGGTCAGTGGTTTTTCCCTGCACACCAGGGAAATGCATACATCATACCTTCTCAGGGGCAGAGAGGTGAGTAGAGCTCATGAACATTACATCATTGAAGGAAAATAGCAAACACGGAGTACCAGACCCATGTCCCAAGGGACATATAAAGCAGCTGTGCCAGTGGGCTGCTAACAAGACATTCTGTACCCACATCTCTGGCTATAAAATATAGGAAATAATGTTAGCTTGCTTGCAAAGGCCAGGGGCTTGCAACATAATGATCATAGAAATATCACATCCTCTTTCTTCATCTCTGCTACAATGGGCAAAAAAGGATACAAGTTGCTTTGGCATTTTGACACCACCTTCTGTATACCAAATAGGTTTTCAGAAAATGTCAATTAAGACCAATCCAACTTTGGATAGAAGACAGTTGATGTTCCTCTTGCCCTGGGAGTTAGATATAGTGGTATCG